AGATATTATATATAATAGTAAGCTTACTACTACTTTTAACTATAATAAGTTTTTTTAATATATGTAATAATATTATTTTACTATAATTTATATATCTCTTTTATTTTAGTTTAAATTAAATTAAACTTATCTACTTAGAATATATAGATAAAAGTCTTTATAGCTTTAATTATTTTATCTAAGTATTTATTAAAAGCCTTTAGCTTACTAAAATTATTATTATTAGTAGAAAGCTTTTAAATTAATTAAACTTTAGCTTTAATATTTTATATAAATATATTAAATATAAAGCTACTACTAAGTCTATAGAAAAATAGCCTTTAAAGTATTTTTTATTATAAACTTTAAGTTTATTATAATAACTTTAAGTTTTATAATATAGTATTAAAGTTAAATTTTATTAAGCTTAAATAGAAGCTACTAGTAGCTATTCTCTTCTTTTAAGCCTAGTAGCTTAAAAGTAATATTTATAATTAAATTTTAATTTATAATTATAATTACTTTAAATAAATAAAAGCTATAGTAGTTAGTCTTAAATATATTATTTATTATAATAAATTCTAAGAAAGTCTTTTAATTATTAATATAATTATTATAAGTCTATATAGTAGCTTTAAAATAACTCTTATTATTATATTTTATATTATATAGTAATTTATAGTTTTAAAGCTACTTTATAGCTTATTATATTAAATTAAAACTTTTAAAGTCTTTCTTATAAATCTTTATAATTTAATTATAAAGGTTTTTATACTAAAAATTGTTAGCAGAAAATCGCAAGGTTAACTGCACTACGCAAAAGTAGAACGCGCTCTAGCGATTAAAGACGCAAATTAACCTTATATTACTGCGCAATTATACACACAGCCTATGCACCTCTATTTTTCGGCTGACACACCCCCCCAGCTTTCAGCCCTCTCAGCGCTGTAAGCTGTATAAGTGCGCTGGAGCTTTGCTGTACTATTATTAGATAGGTATTATGTCGCAATAATAGTTGTTATTATAGTTGTTAGTATAGTTGTTATTATAGTTGTTATTATAGTTGTTATTATAGTTGTTATTATAGTTGTTATATAGTTGTTATTATTATAGTTGTTATTATAGTTGTTATTATAGTTGTTATTATAGTTGTTATTATAGTTGTTATTATAGTTGTTATTATAGTTGTTATTATAGTTGTTATTATAGTAAGCTCTTGTAATAGTAATAGTTGTTGTATTGTAAGGTTGTAAATATAAGGGGGTTTAAACATACAACTGTGGCAGCATAGAGCCTGCAGCACCTAGACTTATAACTATCAGCTAATTAAGAGACTCTTTATAATATAATAGAGATAATAGATATAGCTTATATAATCTAGTTAATTACTAAGCATAAAATAATTAAGATTCTTAAGATATAATAGAAGGGACTTATAGTATAGTATAAAATTATATATAATAGTATATATTAAAGAGTGTAGTTATAGAGGCTTAATTTCCTCTCTATCTAGTTAGAGGGAAGAAGAGTTATTTATAGAGAAATTCTATAGTAGAGCTGCTAAATTAAGCATAAATAGTAGCTTAAAATAACTTTAGTAGCTTAAAATAACTCTTATAGCTGTTTCCTTCTATAGAGTAGTTTAGCCTTTATAGCTTATTAGTCTTTTTATTAAATTCCAGCTAGTATTCCTCTTTTAACCTTATTTATATATATAAAGAAATATAGGCATAAAGTATATTAAATTCTTGCATATAAAATATATGCAAATATTTCTTATAGGCAATTTATGTACTGTAGTTATTTCCCTTGTTTTTATAGGTGTTTTTATAGTAGGCAGTATCTGCTGCTAACAAAAATAAAGCTTTTTTCTTTTTTTATAAGCTTCTTTATATATAATTTTACTAATTTTTATACTAAAAAAGCTTAGTATTTTATAAAGCTTATAATTTACTCTTTCTTCTTTATTATAAATTAAGAATATATAGAATTTATTAATACTTTAAAGGTTTAATTATAATTATAATTACTATTAACTACTTAGTAAGTTTACTACTTGTTTTCTCTTTTCTTAGTAGTTACTAGCTTAAGCTTAAATTTATAGTTAGCTTTTTTTATTAACTATTATAAAATTCCCTAAGACTTTATATACATCTTAGTATTATAATTATAAAGAATATAGCTAAATTAAAGCTAGTAGTATTTACTTATATTTATATACTTAGTTATAAACTTTTTAATAAATACTATATTATTTGCCTTTACTTAAGCTTATAAATTACCTTAAAGCTTATTAAAGCTACTATAAGTTTATAGTAAAGATATTTTAGAAATTAGTTAGTTAATTAAGTTATTATAATTATTATAATTATTAGTAAGCTTATTAAATTATAATATAAAGAGGTTATTACTATTATTATTATTACTATAATTATTATAATTATTATAATTATTATAATTATTATTAAAAAGCTTAATATAGTTAGTATTTATTATAATAATATTATTAATAAAAAAGAGGCTAAAAATAGCAGCTTTTAGCAATATTATTATATTATTGTAAGAAGGCTGCTTTATACAGCAGCAGCAGCAGCTACAGCTGTAGACGTTTTTTTTAGTTATATACTACAATTTTTATAATAATTACTATATTTCTAGAGCGTTATATATAAAAATATATAGAGAGGTGTAGCATCTAAGAGTGTAGGTCTAAAATCTGGGTAGAGCGGTAGCCCCAATAGCAATAGCCGTGCTAGAGACCTAAATAGTGCTAGATTGAGCAAGCTGTAGACAGCTTGTTTATTACGTACCCTTTTGGCTTAATAGCCAAGGGGTCCAGCATCGCTGGGATAACTGCGGCTGGCACCCGCTATAGCCCAATAGAGCTAGTCTATTACAATATACTTTTTAATATATACTATTATATATAACTTTATACTATTCTATAAGTCTCTTCTATTATATATTAGAAATCTCTATTATTTCTTACTTAGTAATTAATAAAATTATATAAGCCTTACTATTTTATCTATAAAGAGTCTCTTAATTAGCTAATAGAGACAGTCTAAAGCTAGCCTAGTAGTGCTATAGACTTAAGGCTTAAAAGTTTTTTTCTTCTTAGTACTTTAATTTATATATTATTTATTTATAAGAACTACTTAATAAATTCTTTAAGTTTCTTTTTATATACTTTATTAAGCTAAAGTAAGTTATACTTTTAGTACCTTAACTAGCTACTTAAAAGTATATTTAGAGTTTATTCTTTTAAGCTTTATATAAGTTACTTTATATATACCTATTTAATTAAGATAATAAATAAGTAAATATAATTATTATATACTTATCTTTATATATTTAGTTAGTATACTTATATTTATAGTTTTAAAGTAAATATTTTAGTGCTTTATAAACTATATAAGTCTTATTAACTTTAAAATCTATATTTAAAAGAGCTTTTACTTTTTTTATTATAAAATACTTAAGTAGAAAGAAGCTGTCAGCAGAAAAAATTAACAATCTATAGGTGCATGCGCTGTGTGTGTAACTGCGCAGTATAAAAGGTCAATTTGCGCTTCTAATTGCTGGAGCGCGTTCCACTTTTGCGTGGTGCGTTGACCTAGCGATTTTTCCGCCGACAGAAGCTATTAGTTTTCTACTTAATTAATTAAAGTCTATATTACTTTAAAGTTTTCTTACAATATAATATTTATATAGTTAGTTATATAAATTCTACTAGTTTAAAGAGAATTAAAGTAGCTTTCTTAGAGCTATAATAGTACTTATAGCTACTAGTAAATTATTAGTAAACTTTATAGTTAGCTTAAAATAAAAATAAAAAGTATATAATATATATAAAGAAAGCTTAATATACTAATAGAAGTTATAGAAGTTTATAAATACCTCTTAAGCTTATAACTATTATATAATAGTATTAGCACTAAGCTAGATATTATAGAGATAATAGTTTAAAGCTTTTTATTATCTATAAAAGAGAGAATTATATATACTCTTTAAATAAGAGCGCTTAGCTCTATACTTTATATATATATTTAGCCTAATTCTATGCAATTATATAGTTATAATTCCTAATAGGTAATCTAGGGTATGCCGTGCCGTGCGACAAAAAGTCTATCTCGCCGTGATGCTAGACACTAGAGAAGCTCCACTGGAATCAGCCGCATTGTTGTCGTTACAGACACTTACACCATGCAGCGTTGCAGCATAACAGTCATCACTCCGGTAGACTCATCAAGCACTGGGGCCAGTGGGCAGTCCTTGCCGACGACCGTCTTCTCTTAAACGAGACATGGCGTCGCATCTCCACGCAGCATTACGAGCATCATCTACACCTCACATGGTGCGCAGGCAGGCGAATCTCAATTCCATCCACCGCTGACACCGCGCGGCGCTGACTCGTCATTTCGACTCAAGCAATAGATGAAGGGATGTGATGTAAAGCCTCGTCTGCGCACGCCCTGGACAGATGTCCTAATATCTGAACAAAGCGCCCCGACTTTAACTTGCAGGTATAAGCATTGTGAAGCCGGCATGAATACCAAGCCTCCAAGCCCTACAGTCACGTAACATCTAAAACATGTAGATGGAGATCAACCCGGTTCTGTGTAGAAACTGATGTTTTTCCTGCACTATAATTGGAACTGAGGAGGCACTGTTCCACCCGTGATCTCGTACTCAGGCTGATAATAAAGCCCTGTGGTGGAGTCTTCTCAGTTTCAGCATTTACTTACACGACTTGACCAAGGAATCAAAATACGGTCGTTATATAAAGGTGCATAACTGTTAGGATAAGCGAGTCGTACGGGTGGATCATATCGTAGCGAACTAAAAGTGTATTTATACTGAGAACATCGCCCAACTTGAGCGTTGTGGGTGAAAGAATCGAAAACTATCAAAGCGGTACCCTTCCATTTCAACATCAACTTTATCCAACCCACTACGTGGTAGGCATTATCTCGTCTAGCAGCAGCGCACTCGAAACTCGACAGCAACACAGAGAAACCATGAAACCTACTACACTCATTACGTCCTTTAGCTACGCTACTGCCATGGCCTTGTCTATAGGCAGCCAGGGCTCCTCTTCACACAACGCAGTAGGGCGGAACCTCCCGCAGACCTCAGAGACGGAGAGCCCTGCAGAACGTGGCATTTACAGTGGCATGTCCAACGACAAAGTTGCCAAACTACGGAAACGAGCAGTGAAAAGAGACGACTGTGGCAGACTTGATGAGGCCATTAGATCTTGCGTCAAGAGAGCAAATACAGCCGCAGCCATCATCTCAAATAGCCTGACGGGCAGGAACAAGGAGCTTTACGATCAGTACTTCAAGGGCAACGACCCGAGTATAGTGGCAAGCAACTTTAAAAGGATTGCTGAAGGCTGCAGCCCGCAGTCAAGGAACAAATTCCCAATTTACTGCCGCCCGGATGAGCCATGCAGGCCTGCGGATAAGCCGGATTGGGAGTCCTCCGCAATAATAGACTCTCACAACCGGACAAGGGTCTGCCGCCAGGCCTTTGCAACTGACATCGCTTATAGTCAGGGAATCGGCAAGTGCGGAGACCGAATAGAAGCTTTGGAAGACACAATCTTACACGAGATGTCCCATGCGGGACTGCAGACAGAAGATTATGCATATGGAAAAAATGACGCTGCGCGCCTTAACGCAGAGTTAAGTCTAGGCAATGCTGATAACTATGCCTTATTTTCCTCCGACTCTAGAGATAGATGTAGACCTCTGGGGTATTGAGGCGAACCCTCAGGTCCGCCCGGCGGCGATATGCAAGAATCTCAGGATTCCTGGCCTCCCCCCGACGGCGATATGCAAGAATTCCAGGATTCCTGGCCTCTCCCCGACGACCTTGGTTTCTAGCCTCCACGGCGGGGCCCCCCGGCTCCCTGACGGCAACAGCTACAAGGCGGGAGGGTATGCTGAGCCCGTTCGCCTGGAACCTGAAGATGCTATTGGAATTTTGAACAGCAAAAGGAGACAAGATGTAGTTTGTATCTTTCTATTTCTGCCTTGAGATTTCCACATGTATAAGTCTAGTCCAAGTACAAGGAATTGCGCAGAAGAGGGATAAATCTAGGCTAGCTGGATATACTAGCAGTGGGATCCATGCTGCCTAGTTGTAAACAAGACTCGATTTGATAGTTTGACGTGCCTGGCTGCCACGGGAAGGTAGAATTATCTGTTTCGGCACGGGGTGGCTTCCTGGGGGGGCGGGGGCTTACAAAAGAGCCCAGTTCATGGTGGACTCTGTTGTCAATTTGGCCGTCCCTTGGGTTTTCTTGCCAGAAAGAAGTCCTGGAAGTTCGGATTGTCAATGTTGGTGTAGTGCGTCCAGAAGAAACATTGGCTTGAGACGGTATTGACCGACGGCGGGTGGAACGGGGGTCTATAGGCTTGAGCCGAGGTCAGGGCCGCGTGGTAGGACGGACAGGTGGCATATCGTGTCTATGTCGTGTTCATGAACAGCCCCAGGACGTCGGCGTGGAATCGGCTACTGCTCGCTAGATGCTACACCGGACATGAACCCAGCGAGATATGAACCAGGAGAACACCCACTCTGTCGCACCAAGACTTTCCCCGCCGACGACGGTTCCAAACACGTGCAAAGAGACGTTGCTGTCAATCGTGATGATGTTGAATTATAACGAACCTTGAATCTGGAGCATACGAGGGGAAATGGTGTGTGAGATCTACCACGTTGTGCGGCAGCGTGACCATCCTCTCGGCCGCATTGCAGCCCAACCCCAGACGGGGACGCCAGGCTTCCCGTCGATTGATTGGCAACGCCACGATGGTAGCTTCCGTTCTGGGCTTGCCGGACAACGGGGTCCCGGCAGGTTTCGCTCCAGGCAAGTGTTGTTGACCGTGTACAGGGCCACGCGGACACGGGGAGAGATACGGCCAAGTGGAAAGCCGAGCTGCCATAACGGGTAAGACGTGCGATCAAACAGGAAGTTGAGGCGTGGCAGACAGTTTGCTCGCCAGGTTGCCTTTTCGTCTGGCTGAAGCGAAGGGCAGCGCGGTGACTGTTGCTTTGGAGGGCTTCTGTCCTGTCCATGTTTGCCCATGGTTCCCTCTCGACTTGGCCTGAGTGAGTGGGTGACTTGTTGCGCTGCGTCCGATCTGGCAGGTCCATCAGGATTGCGTCTCCTGAGGAGAGCCGCTTCGGGTTCGCATGGATCGGCATCTATTACAAGGACTAGGTAGTTAACTACCTGCCACAAATCCCGTGCCCCTCCCGCAGCAAGTTCGATGGAGAGTGAGTCGGCACACCCGTTGGCCTCCAGGTTGCTCTGAATCACTCCCAAAAAGTCCGGGTTGATCATTGTCGTGATGCGCGAGATGCCGCCAAACGTGATACCGCATGCCGGGTCCAGGTCCGGTGCCACGGTCGTAGTCTCCGCAAACCGTCATCCCTAGCTGCATACCTTGGGTCGCCATTTCATTGCTCGGATTTGCAGGACTGCTTTCGGGGCAGCTTGTTGAAGCGGCGCATTCTCGACCTGCCTATCTTGGGCACAGGCAGACTTGGTCCTGGTTCAACGAGTCTGCTGCGACGACACAGCTAGCGCGTGTCTGCCTTATCATGTGTGGCGACGAACGCCGCCGGTGCTCGTCTTTGGCACTCGCGCTGGTGTTGGCTTACCACTTGTGACGGAGAAATAAATAGGAACGGCAGCGGCCCTTGTTTCTTTTCTGCAACTCCAAGAGATGCAACACCCGCATACTCCTCACCCCTGCCTGATATTCTGACCCGTTTCTGTGCTTGCGAATCCTTCGTTCGACATGAAGGCGGTTGCCCTCCTCGCGTGTCTGCTGGCCACAGCGGCTACCATGCCGGCTGAGAGCACAGTGTCTTACAAAGGGCACAAGGTCTTTCGAGTGCCGGTCGTGGACGACGGCGCGCATATCCAGAGCCTGATTGATCGTCTGGGTCTAAGCGCCTGGCAGCCTCCCTCCAAAAAGGGCTCTTTTGCTGATGTTCAGGTCGCGCCCGGCCAGCTGAGAGCCTTCGAGGAAGCGTTGGAGGGACGCAGCTTCGAGATTATGCACCGTGATCTCGGAGACTCGATTGCTAGAGAAGGCTCCATGCATGGGTATGCTGGTACGTGACGCCTCCGCCTCGCTCGGCTTCAGATCCTGCCCGAAACATGAGAGAGCCGCGGTGTAACAGCCTTTGACGAGCAACAGCCGGCTCGGCCAATGCCTCCTGGTTCACGTCGTACCATGCATACAGCGACCATCTGCAATGGATGAGCGACATCGCCGCACAGTACTCGGGCAATGTCAAGAGTGTGACGTCGGGGACCACGGGTGATGGCAATAACATCACGGGCCTCCACATCTTCGGCAGCAGCGGCGGCGGCAAGAAGCCAGCGGTTGTTTTTCACGGCACCGTCCATGCCCGTGAATGGATCGTTGCCATGGTTCGTATCGGATGGTAAAGACAAACTGGGACGGGACGCCAGCTGACGACATGTCCCGGGACAGACTCTCGAGTACATTGCCAACGAGCTCATCACCAAGTACTCTTCCGACAGCCTCATCAAGGATGTCGTGGACAAGTACGACTTTTACGTGTTCCCCGTTGTCAATGTTGACGGTGAGTAGGCCGAGGCCACGGCACGCTTACCAGGGCTTCTCCGATCCCCGTTTGCATTGGTGCGGCTGGCTGATGTGTTCCCGATGCAGGATTCAAGTACACGCAGACTTCGGACCGGATGTGGAGGAAGAACCGGGCTCGCAACCAGGGCTCAGGTTGTCTTGGGACTGATCCCAACCGCAACTGGCCATACAAGTGGGACGGCCCTGGATCGTCAAAGAACCCTTGTGCTGAAAGTTATCGAGGCACATCGGCCGGTAGCAGCCCGGAAGTCAAGTCCTACATCGCCTTCCTTGACGGGATCCAGAAGAGCCAAGGCGTCAAGGTATACATTGACTGGCACTCGTACTCCCAGCTGTTCATGACCCGTAAGTCATATGGCGTCCCCTCGGGAATCGCACAGACCAGGACCAAAATCAGAAATTACTGACGCGAGTAATCCTCGCCTCGAAAAGCATACGGGTACTCCTGCAGCGCAGCGGCACCCAACAATGCCGCCTTGCAGGCGCTCGCGAAAGGTGCTTCTGACGCTATCGAGGCAGTTCACGGGACCGCCTTCGCACATGGCCCGATCTGCAACGTCATCTATCAAGTTGCGGGCGGCTCTGTTGATTGGGTCCAAGACGTCCTCAAGGCCGACAACGTTTTCACCATTGAGCTGCGTGATACGGGCGGTTATGGATTTGTCCTACCGCCGGACCAGATTATACCCTCTGGAGAGGAGAGCTTTGCGGGCGCCATGTATCTTTTCCAGCAGATGACTTGAGGGAAACGCTCAAGCCGCAGTTGGGGACTGCCAATAGTGTGTTGTCGTGCCACAGCAACTTTTATACAGGACAACGCAAGGTGTTTTCTGGCTCGGGTCATGGCGGTGGTGTAGTCACGATGAAACAAAAGTGATTCGTAGTGGCGTCGCGGTAAGTGACACCCCGTATGCTCCGTAAATGTATCCCAGATGAGTTCGACTTGGACGATTTTTCGAACACAGGCATCCTAGCCACAAAAACGGATGATCCAGTGCAAGAAGACATGACATGGTATGTCAATGGCATTAAAAAGATTGTTAGCACATGGCTTAATAACGTTTGCACGCCTCCATGATGGAGGAGCTAAGGAGACTGTGTCCCGTGACGATGCCATGGCCCGAGTAGTGGAAAAGCAAATTTCTCGGCGTAAAAACTGGAGCACACATGTTTCCCGATTTCAGTTCAGAGCCCAATGTATTTATTTTATGTGAGATGTCAAGGTTTATCATTTAGCCCCGGTCATATCATCCGAGATGAATATTGCCTGGTGGCGATGTGTGGCTTCAACCACAGCGCTGCACAAGCCAAAGTCTAACGTCATGTCAGTACGCCGCGGCACGGGAGCGAGTGACTGACTACCTAGGTAGTCTTTGGGACGCAACTCACCGACATCTGTGCCAAGATCTAGAGAGCTGAGTACTTTGATGGACAGGTCGGGATTCACTTTGCCAATGAGTTGAACGGCGTTGCCGTTGGTCAGATGGGCGTCCTACAAGGCGGCTCGTATCAGTCAGTCCAGAAGAACGACGGGTAAAAAAGGCGCAAAAAATCGAAAAGGCTCACCCGGTTGAGGACCACAGTCACGGCACCATCAGAATCGATGGTGGCTTGCTCACCGCGAAGCTGGGTGACCTTGCCTACAATGGTGACATGGCGGCCGACGAAGCTGTCCAGATAGGGAGCTGTAATGCGTGGAGAGGAGGATTCGAACATATCCAGAGAGATGAAGGGCAATGGCCTCTATGGACGACAATACGGCGACGATGCAAGGTTGGCCGGCGGCAACGAACCAGTGTCAGAATCGCCAAGTTCCAACGTCTCAAAAGCGTTGTTGCTGAACCTGAAATGCTGCGAGACGCGACGAGGGCATAGCGCGGTGTCACGTGACGGGGCGGGCATCACCCGGACGCGTGCGCGGTGCTCGGGCAAAGCCTTGCCGAGTAACGAGCTTGCAATGCCGAGTCATGTACTCTTGTACTCTTTGCAGCCGCGTACTTGGTGGCGAGGCCAAGGTGACGTATGTGTGCCTGAGGTGTGGATGCTTTTGCCACCACACAGTTCCTCGCACAGGTTGGAACTCAGCAGTTGTCTTTTGACGACTGATTATCCCAAGTACCCGTCAACTGATGTGGCTTTGCCAAATTCGACGACCGGCACATGCCCCAAGACCAGTGTTTCACCTTCGACCTGCCAGCCCAAGAAATTAGCGACTGCCACGACTACGCACGGCGCAGCAAGTCGTGAGCGCGGAGTGCTTCGGCCGTCGGCCACGGATCGCGGTGGTGAAATCCCAGTCATTTGCCACTGCGAGGTCCACGGTTTTTGGCCTGTAACTCTGTCTGTGGCCCATACTGGCATGCCTTTCCCTCATCGTGGGGGTGTCGGAGCCACCCCGTTGGCAAGGCTGAACACCACCCTTCGAAGAAGAAGTCCAGAGGTACATTTTTTTTCATGAGTCTATGACCTCATAAGTCGAAGCGGCAGCACGCCCGTGTCTTCATACGAGATGACACATCGCTTCGTGAATGAAGAGGTGGGGGAAGAAGTGCGCCGGGATGAACATCTTCCACCGTCGCGCGGCTCGAAGCTCTGGAGGGGCCGCTCTTGGGGGTTCTCATTGGTGTGCACGAGGCTGGCAGCGTAAGCTCAGTAACAGGCATGCGAGACGTCACATCCGGTTGTGTGGCCCCGAGACTTTGTCCAGTCGGCGTGGTGGTGCATGTGAAACGCGCTGTGCTGCGGTGCTCATATCTGACATCTCGAGAGCATATTCCGTAGCCTGTGCGAAAAAAAAGTCCAGTTGACCCAATTTTCTGCAGTACCGACGTGGTACCTCGTGAGAAACAAGGTTAACTCCTAAACCTCCTGCAGGAATAGCTAGTATCCTGTAGCGGTTTGTAGATCCAAGACGACTTCCTCCGACGCAATTAGTGTTTATTGGCTACGTCCTTTTGAACCTTGGCACCATTACCCAGTCTTTTCAAGTATGCTGACCCGGGGAGTGGGAAGAACAAGAGAACAGGCCTTCGTGGCCCCTTGATGGACCTGAATGGTCGCGAGAACTACTAGCGTCACCAAGGCGCCGCGGAACCCAATGAATGAGCACGGAACCATGTCCGGGACGGACCAGAGTGATTCTTTGGAATACCTGCAGTGGATGATATTGTCAAGGTTGGTTTAACTCCGTGGAGGATCTCCTCCTAGAATTGCCCAAGGCAGGTACCCAAGCGGCACAGTGCCCTGGCGTAGGGCGCATCTCGACAGCCACTGAGATCAATCAGATACATGACAACCCCTCGTGTAAAGAGCGCTCAGTCGTGTTCAACGCTGGCCGTGTTGGCCGTTGAAGAATACCCAGCTACCTGGGAATCTCCTCCTCGAACAAACACATGTTCAAACTGAGCCCGACCTATCCCCTCTCCAGCAAACACGACCGTGTGCTGTGGCCTTTGACCGAGAGGCAGATAGACAGCCGGCTGAATCATGTGTTCCAAATCTTTTTGAACAGCATTGTCTCTACTCTTTCAAAACGGTTCACTCACATCACCCGTCATCTTCCCGCCATTTTCACCTGCTCACCCATCCTGGCTCCAACTGACACGACATGTCGACGGCTGACTTTTGGATTGGACGCCTGGCTGGAGAGAACGAGTTTGACCTAGGTCTATTTCACCCAGCCCAGAATTTCCTCTCTCGGAATCCGCAGACTGGTGTTCACGACGACGGGACGGCCGATGCCTTGTTTGGTCCATTGCCCGGCCTACTAGAAGAAGACAAACCTTACTCACTACTATTCTCGCACCAACTAGAGAAACCAGAGGCCAGTCTGTTTTCATCCGACGCCAACTGCTTATACCCCGCTGCCGGACTAAATCCGGTATCCCCTACGTCTGCTCCTTCGACCGACATTGTCAACCAGACGACGCCTCCCAGCCTGTTTGGGGAAGAAGACGATGCGTCAGCCGAAGCAGAGAAGCCGGGTTCCAAGCGAAAACGGGACGCCAAAACCGCAACAAAATCAGGTAAACCGAAGGCGAGCTCGGAAAAGCCGCCCGAGGCTGTACCAAAGAGGAGGAGGCAACCAAAACGCGGAGCAAGCAAGAAAACCACCAACAGCGCGGCACAGGCGCGCGAGGCAAACAAGCCCAAGTACCGCCGCCAAAGATCCCTGGAAAAGAACCGCGTAGCGGCGTCAAAGTGTCGAAAACGCAAGAAGCAGTGGACCGAGACCCTGGAGCAGAAGAAATCCGGGCTGGAATCCGTGCACCGAGAGCTGCAGTCGGAATACACGGAACTTCTACAAGAGTCTTCCAAGCTGAAGAACTTCCTGATAACCCATGCGAGCTGCCAGGATCCCAATATCGATACCTGGATCAAGAACGAGGCTTCGAAATACGTTCGCAACCTTCACAATTCCGCCGGCCCGAGATCCATGTACTCTGTATCCAGCGTAGAGGGTGAGTCTGCTGCAGAATCCTGAATGCCGACCCGGACAAATCACTCTGCTGTCGGGCTTTGACAGCCGTGGGCTCTGCTGATGATTCTCAAGACGATGCCGTCATTTCACCTCAATCGCCGGTTCCTAGCTAGATGGACGTCCGCTCTGCGGCAACTTGCAAGGGCCTACACTGTCTCAAAGGTCACCAGATCTCTGAAGGCGACTTGGTCAATTCGTAAATGACATTCTTTTTTGGGAAGGGTATGGGGGGATCAAATCTGCCTTTGCAATTTCATCCAGCAACAGCCAGCTGCTGCAATGGACAGCTGGTTATTGACAAGCGACCCTTCTGGGCCGTGCTTTCAAGTACTATTCAGAGCTCTGAAATGAATCTTCAGGCACATGTACGCTGGGGCTTCGTTGAAGTGTCATGGTAGATAATGGTGGGAATTTGACAAGCTTACAGATGATTATAGTCTGGCCACTCATTCGGCTACACGGCCGTGTCAAAACGGACTGCAGGGCTCAAGATGGTCATTTTGTATCGTTGCGAGATAGCACGGGAGAATTTTGCACCATGACTGCTATGACGACTATGGAGGATCGTTTTTCGTTTTTTTGTTTCTACTTGTTTAGCCTGAGTTCGCGACAACACCACTGAAGAAAACTATATGAGCTTACGGAGCGCAGAGATTACTTTATTCAAATATATGTAACTCCGGTGCTTACGCATGAGGCATGCCCTTCTGTGCTGTTCTGCGGCCAGCGCAGAGACCTTTCCCACTATGCGCCGCCCAGTCGTGCAAGAGAGGCAGACTGGCTTCAACGTATGACAGTATCAGCTCGTAGAACCCGCGGTTGGCACGACAAGGATACTTTCACATTTTCTCCTTGTTCGTTCCTTTCACCCAGCATCGATGAATCGACCAGTAACTCCTTGTGCCGTTTACTCCTGGAATGGCAGTATTATGACTTGGCTTGTGTGACGTAACTCGATTGAGTAGTTGATCACTAGATTCCGGTAGACAAAGAGCAGGGACATGCTTCAATTTCGTAGATCTTTAACTGATACCCTCAGTAATGCTAAGAAGACCTAGGCAGAAGGCTAATGCATAAATAGAAGCCTCCAGCCGCAAGGAACTTTTAGAAAACCGAGGACCTTTAATACAAAAGTCTGTTATATGCGAATGGAGCCAAAGTGCTCCAAGCCCTCAGACAAAGACTTGTCACCGAAGATCAACATGTCGTGCCGGGCGGAAGTCAGTGCGACGCCCGCGGTGCCACAAGTTGGCGAGCTTGGCAAGGGTCAACCGGTACTTTATTGGGCCATGGAGATAACTAGTTACTTGATAGGCCTGTACTAAAACATGGTTTGACGCCAATCGGAAAGGGTGCTCGTTGATTAAATGCCGCGCTAGTCAGGCCGGCGTACAATAGTGTAAGTCCTTTTCGGTTTCGATGTGATTAAATAGCCTTTGCCACAACTGGCAACTCTACATTTTGGCGGCTGGTGACTGTTTCAATATGTGTTCACCGATCAAACGACAAGAGAAATTGTCCTATTCGCTACTTTTATCATGTCTCTGAGACGAGAAGCCTCTGAAGCCCACGATTTGGAGTCCGAAATCACAACATGTGGCATTCTCTATTTTGTAGTATCCTTATAGGCTACAAAGTTCAACAACTCTATACCCTTGGAGCTTCCGTCAGAATGGGTGGTGGCGTCAGGGATGGTGGAAGGGGCTTTTGGCTCTTGAAACTGAAAGTCGTCATTTTCATTGTTACCCTGGCGCTATTCTCGATTCTCGGTCCACACGCCATGACCATTGGGGCTAATTATGAGCGCAGCGTCCTTCATACTTGGCCGAAAGCTATTTCCCCCTAGTCAGCCATACTCAAATTCTAATACAGCGCTCGTACTTCTGACATGGTCTTTTGACTCTTGACCATGACGCCCCGGTATTCTGGGCGTACATGGCGAAGGCTTCTTCAGACCAGCGACGTTAATCTTCGCTGCCAGAGACGCACCTTGGCCGAACTGAATGCCTCTTACATGCTGGCCCGCCCTAGCTTCCAAAAGCTGCTTGCAAGTCTCTTCATCGGGGTCGACCAGCACTAATAAGACGTGATACTGACTATTTGTAAGGGATTCCATGTGGGCGGCTCTGTCTTGCTCCCGCCGGCAAGGCTGTGCTTCAAGAGCAGACTAATCATCACTGCGACTTTTCGTGTCGTCTATAGCGTTTGGAGAGTGAATTCGGCAAGCGTTGATCCTGGGATGCTTTATATCTTGACTGCTCCAAACATGATCATGACCAAGCATTCTATGGGTGAGTGAAAGGATGTAACGCCAACCTAGCCCGAGACCCATGAACATGAATCCATGAACATGAATTGTGGTTCCGGCAATAGGGAAACTACAGTCCAGCTACGGTACTTGCTTTTACATCACATCCGAACGGGCCCGCCTGCGGCCGATGAGGGCGTCGTGAATCGTGATGGCTGCAAACTTTGTGCATTGTAGCAAGTCATGTAGTTGAGGCTGTATTGACCGCGAGTTCCGTGTAAAACCACTGTCGAACGCGGGAGCTAGGAAGGCCCTCCTTTCAACTACAACACACGTGATGGCAAGTCGGTTTCAGGAACCCCCTCTTTTGCGTGGCTGTTACGCGCAACTACGATATTAGTGGCCCATAATATAGTCATCGAAGATAACAAGTAGCCGTAATGTGATACCGTCCCGTCTGCCTCCAAATACGGAAGACACGGATGGCTGGTGGATTCAAGAGGGCGCATCGGAGCAGCAACGTTGAAACTATGCCAACAACATGTCGCAATCACAAGCCAACATGGACTCTCCTGCCTCATCGACTCCGTTCCCGTCTTGGATTCCCCACCATGGGCCGCTCAATATTGTCCACGGATATCACGTAAGATGTATTGAACACAAACCGGTCTGACTGCTTGTATCCCACAGCTAGGCCATCTCTCTGCCGAGGTCGGCACAGAACTGTGACACAAACTGATCACGAGGCAAAGATAGAAGGCCGAGCCCGCGATCCCAACCAAGGGGAGTGGTTTGACGCATCGTGGATGCCTCGGGATGTCAGAGTACACCGCTCAGGTACATATATAGGCCTCTAGGCCCGGTTTCCTGAGGGGGCTTTTTGAAGCTTCATTGTCCTAATGCTAATCATCAGAACAAACTGAACACTCGTATTTCAAGTCTTGCTGCACATGACCCTCGACTGGTCAAATTCTGAGTCAATTTCACTCCCTCATGCTCACTGCGGCCAATACAATACACGACTAAATTGCGACGTTCAGGACTAGAAACAAACGCAAGTGCCCACAATGGTGGTGGTGCCTTTGGATGAGCCTCGGCAGGATGTCGCAACACGATTGAAGCATATTTACGGGCAGTTTTTCAAAAGCCTGCCATCTATGCAGCGACTAGAGCCGCTTGAAAGCGACAAACTCAAGGAGGCCGTGCTTGTCGCCGCCAAGGAAACTGGTGTGCCTCATCCTCCGCAGTCTCTTTCTCACCAAAATCTACTGGATGGCACTCTCTACGCAGATGTAGGCTTGATATACACGCACTCGGCCTGTTCGGCGCCTCAACTAACTCTGCACTCAAAGTATTGCTTTCCGCATCACGACCTCGAGGTCAAGGTGTTCGTATCCATTTATACGTGGCTGGCGCAGATGTGCGACGACGCCGAGCACGCAGGCCTCGCAGAAGACATCGAGCATTTCCAGCAGCGCTTCATTGCAGGCGAGAAACAGCCGTCGGTACGGTCCCTAGAAAGAATGCCTACATCTGCCGTGTGCCCCATGACCACCCAGTACACGAGCAGTCATCGTTGGCGGCACCGGAGAGAGAAGAACAAGGCAAAACTTGCACTACATTCATGGCATGTGTTGACTTTGGACTTGAAACCAGATAATCCTGCAGAGCTTCGCGGATCACCTGCGGCTGACCTACAATCACTTTCACACTCTCGTCGCGAACCTTATAATATCTTCTACTCTCAACTTTGTGACGGCTTCAGCTCTAAGCGCTCGGGAGGGGGTCAAACGAAAAGCCATGTGCCCATCACCAGGTGCGGAGAATTTCCCGTGGTATATTCGTTTCAGAGACGGTCTAGGCGACGCATTCGGTTGGTTCACGTTTCCAAAGGCGCAATGCCCAGATCCAGCCATCCCGATCGAAGCTGCTGGGGATATAACTTCCTTCGTCGTACTAGCCAATGACGTGTTGTCGTGAGTCATTACCGTCTTGCCTCGCGCATCAACGTTCGTCTCACATGGTTCAAGGTTTCACAAGGAAGAGAGGGATGGCGAGATGGACACCTACGTCCACAAGCTTGCCGCGTATCGAAATAAAGACCCCCTGTCTGTCGTGGAAGAAATTGCAAAGGACGTTTCACAGTCGGCCCACAGGATCGAATTGCTCCTCAAGGGCAAGGGTGTGTATGAGAAAGTGTGGCGAGCGCATATGGTAGGATATTTGCATGTGCATATCGATGCGGCGCGTTACAGACTGCGGGAGCTGGATGTGAGTACTTGGACATCGGTCGGGGACAGTTTGGGGGGGATGTCTTGAATTCTCCTTGATTTTTTCAAAAGCAATGCCAGACCACGATGTGCAGGATTGTTCTTCAACAGACACACATGACGGTATGGACATAGAGGGTTATTGTCCGTGAAGATATGAAAGAAAAAGATGACGTAAAAGGTACTATCTCCCTTGAAACTTTTGCTTCCGAGATTGTACAGATCACCACTCTCCGGTTTCAGCAGTAGTAAACTAGGTCAACTCTTATTGACGATTTTATCAAAGCTACATCGTCACTGCGCCACGGTGAACTTTCATGCTACTCCCTAGGCTACAAGTATGATATAATGTCGTGCTCGAAGGAGGTTGCAGGCAGTCCAAGGCTGTCACAGGATGTTGCCGACACAAGGGCTACAGTCACGAGAACAGAAGGCTGCTGCATAAATAGAAGCCTGCAAGGACCTTTAATATCAAAACTGCTACGGGCTGAATGGAGCCAAAGTGCTTCAGAACCTCATCCCACGCTGCTGTGAGGTGAATTGCTCGGGGCGCAGCAATTTTTTGCTCGGTGCGCAGGATCCCCACCGCGCCCCA